AGACGTTACCCAGATTTCACTCGCTGATGAGGATCAACTGAATATCTGTTCGTCTGCCTTATATCCTCTATAGGAAGCTAAGTATAAGTCAGTCACAGATATGACAAAGTAAGAACCTAGCAGTTTCAGTTCAAAAAAATATACAATTTAAAAACGTTTCAGTTTGAAGGCATTCTCTGATTTACACTGATTAAGCATTACTGGGAACAGCGAGCGACTCATATGAAAACAGTAATAATTCGGAAAGGCCCTCCGGAAGTCATATTTTTAAACTCCCTCCCTTATCGAATATAAATCTCGATTTATTAACTAGCAGGGATAAAATGAAAAATCAATATTAAACACAAACTAGCAATAGTAATAAGAAAATTTGCATTTATTCAGCATTATCTTGCATGATGACATTTTCCTTCTCACCAGCTCCTGTACTTTAGGTGCTTATATTAATTTATCTTGTAGCTGATTTTCTGCCTTTACTGAAACCTAAAGAGTAGTCACCAAGATGTACAACGCAATGGGCCCTGCTGGAGAAGAGAAGCGGAAAGCAGGCTATAAACGCTATTCTTGCGCAAACGATGAACACAATTGCCGGTATGACACAGTCGACCGAACAGGTAGTGGTTATATGAGCTAAAGAAAGCTGTATGTTAACAGATCTAAGGGAATAGTTGCCACCACCTTGTTGAATGTGCTTCTGTTCGATGGGTTCTCTTTCTAAGTTCTTCAATTAAGACAGGCACAGTCATATTTACTTGATAGAAGAGAATACTGTATTAATTAAATGGTAAGAATTAGGAATGCGTTTTCTGTAAGACCATCTTCAAAATTGAGTTCCAGTGGTTTGAGTTATAGGAAACAACACTGTTCACATTTCAGGTTGACAATGAGAAGTTTGGACTCTGTTTTTAGATTCCATTTCCTCTCTTTAACTGAATTACTTATAATCAGGCGATGTAAGCTATAACCTGAAAGGAATAAATCATAAAAGCTTTCAGTACAGTAGTAATTTCGCTTTCTAAACTGAAAGGGATGTCACTAAGAAAATGAAAGTCGTCACGCAGGACGGCACTAGGATCTTGGATATATTTATCTTTTATATTCAGATTCAATGTCAATTCAGATTCTTTGTTCTTGAGTGTCATTTGTGCCTATCCGATAGTTATCGAACCAGAACCTGAGCTATTGGCATTATCATTATTGGTCATTGATCGTAATTCCATAATCAGATCGTTAGCCATTGCATCCGAGATAACTGTTCAACAGTGATTTTCGAACATATACATAAGTGCCACTATCACATCATTTAACTTCAAGCAATTGCACATCACAAAGTGCCTTCTTATGTAGGAGCAGATCTTTGACCAGTCTGCAGGAGAAAGGGCTGATCACATTCACTGATGGACTATTCTGATAAACCAAATCGGGCACCGTACTTCTGGGTCTTGGAAAGGAACAGTTTATCATTTAGAACCGCAACATTATCACCTAAGACTAAACTATGCTTATAACCTTGTTTTACGGCGAGTTCTTGGTGCATGATCTCACTGCGTGTCGATCAACATTATATCGTCTGCTAGTCATTACCATTATTATGTGCATTCTTCGGTGTTGTATGCATTAAATTTCCTCACTTGCATGTTTCGAACTCGTTTTCCTCCGTAAAGCCGTTTTGTCTCTTCCCTATTCGTTGTGCAAAGCTGATTAATCAGATGGCATCGAATTTCGACCAATTGGAATGCGCCTTCTCCGCCAAAATAAAATGAGGCGCGCTCATTCAACCAGGGATCCTATGGGAGGTGATAAAAAAGCGAGGCGAAGCGGCGGTATGCCACGTTGAGGTGGCTCGGCGATAAATTTGACTTCCTCCGAATCCGAAAAGGATTGGATGCCAGTGCAAGAGATCGATCGGTCGGTCGGTCGGTCAATGAAGGCAATGGCAGGCGGCTCGAGTGCCGGGTAACGAGGTAAGGGATGCGACAGTTTCGTGCGTTGAACCGCTTCTAACGATGATTCGTCGAATTCGATCGAATCCTCTGACATTCCTCATTACAGAGGACGAGAGGGCAGGGAGTAGAGCGAGAAAAATCACCTCATGGCCAGAGGACGACCGGCCGGGTGACGCAGTCGTCGATCGACGCCACGTAATTAAGTCGCGACATGTCGATGCTCACAATGACGAGAACAACGATTACCGGGCGAGAGCTGTGCGCAGAATTACCGTCTAAATGTCCAATTCATCATCTTCGTTTATTAGCATCTTAAACAGAACTACGGCGATTAGTAGCCGCATCCGGCGCTGGTGGATTCGATCGACCAACTACGAATTCCGGCCTTACAGCACTGACCAACAGGTGATCACTGGCCGAGTCATTGTCACCAACCGTCCCCCCGGCAACAGAAATCCTTTGCCGGTGGGTGTCATCCGAAAGCGGCATGCATTCTAGACGTTCATTGTCTCAATGTCCAAACAAACACCTGGTCATTGCTCTATCGTCTGACCGAGAGCCGCAGTCCGTACCGTATCACCTGCATAGAGCCCTTCATCAAAAACTGCTAGGTGAGACTAAGAGGTCATTGTGGAAGATGCTATACAGCGCCTCATTCTAACGCACACCGAGAGTTCACGTAGAAAAGAAAGACTTGGGGTTTGCAATTTGCTGCTCCTTAAATGGATCAACCTTGGCAACATAGGATATTTAAAGATTTTATTCATTTAGCATTTGCCAGTAGCACGTCACATAAAAAAATAAACAGAAATCTTTTCTCAATTATGACTTTTTCTTTCGCTGATGCATACAAAATGTTTTATTCAAGTACGACATGTAACCTGAGGTTTCACACAGCGGCCAAGAAAATTATGACGAGACAGTACAGGTAAATAATAAGGAAAAATGAGAGATTCTAACTGCCGAGATACCAGCACTTTTGGCACCCCTCTTTCTCGCAATTCATAGTGTGCTGCTACTTTAGCTTTTCTCATCGGGTAAAGCACTTGCTGTAGGACATATCTACAACTAAAATACCATAATAACGGGTACCCTTCTGTTTTGCTCTCACGAAGCGGCAGTTACTTGTTTATCTCAGACGGATGAAACTGCGTGACCTCAACAGAGCTCGAATCCGATATCTTTGGAACATAATTCCAACGATATTCTTGCCAGGCTAGCACGTGAAAAAGTGACTCAGCGGTGGGAAAGGAATGAAAGCACTGGAAGGCAACGCTTTCTTAGGTTTGGTAAACTTGCAGTGCAAAACTGGAAATATCAGTAATCTTTTGCAAGTTGCACCAATGACTTCAAAATTTGAGGAAAACTAGTCACAATCCTATGATATACACCACATGGTACTTCTTAATGTGATGTCTTTGGCAAAACTACGGCATCGTGAACAAACAGTTTGGTCCAAAATTTGACGTGACCTCGATTAAAATGAAGCAGCAAGCCAAGAAACACATTCTAGCCACAATGGAATATCCCCATCCACCTTTTCTTGCTGATCCTTAGCAAAGCTGTAACCACGAGACTGAGATTTACTATAGTTTAAGAATGGCAAGAGCTTGCATCACGAGCGATCAGAATACCGTAAATTCACGACATTTAGAACCTCAAACAAATGGCGAATTTCTGATTTAGTTTGTACCAACGTACGGATTTGAAAGATGAATCGTCAAAGAGGCCGAACGCAGGCCCGCTGAGGCTGTTGAGATGTGTTGTTAAGGGCAACTGTTGCAGATCTCATGACTTCTGGACTTTAAAACAATTAGCTACTCAGCGTTAACTCCAAAAGACAACGCGGAGCGAAAATTCTGACATTTTGAGTACGTCGTGAAGATGAAACACGCCGAAGCTAGAGGTTTGAATTCTGAACGATGAACAAATGGAAAGATAGTGAAATTCCTTTAAGGAGAGTCATATTTCACAGTAGGCATGGCTTAAAATTATTCACCTCCTCAGGATAATTGAAGAGGTAGAATTGTACATCATGTCGTCAGCCCTCAGTATACACAGTGATGTTGTATTGCATCAAAACCAAAGGACAGTAGCAAGAACCATTGGCAGAAATTACGCAAAGGGCAGTTGAACACTACCAAAAATGTAAATGGCCGCTTTATTAGTTGGAAATAAACATGATCTGTTTTTGCATGTGGTCTCAATTGTCTAATCTTTGAGTTATAATTATGTAGAGTAGGTAGTAAAAAAATTATTGGCTCACACGACAGAGCGATGCGTAATAGATTATACTCTAAGAAGGTAAAGATGTTATGAACCCTGAAATTGTCGTCTGACAGTGCCACACTAATGGGGTTTGACAGAACTTTTCATGTATTGCAAGATAGCTTGACTTCCGAGAAGGACTTTATGACTACGAATTTAGAAAGTAACCGTCTCTGTTATTTTTCAAAGGAAACATTATGAAAACTTTTGATCATGTCACCTACTCTCTGAATAGAGGACAATGATCTATGAAAAAAGAGGAAATGACGCGGACGATTAAGCTCATTCGCTACTTAAATTTCTGATATCTAATTTGCAGAAAATGTTTAGAGCGAAATGTCGCTACCATCCTCTTGAGCAGAAAAAACATGTTCATAGGGAAATACAAGTAATACACAACAAATTTACTGCGGATAACTAAAAAAAGTTCTGAGACTTGTTTTTTCTAAATGTGTGAATAAAATGAACAAGCGAAACCCTCATCACAAAAGAGTATTTCTTTGACTCCTTAGAAATGGACTGACCCTTTAGAAATAGACTACTAAATCGAGAATGTGCTAGCAATAGTTTTCCCATTTCTTGAACAAAAGTAATCATTTAAGAATAATGATTAAGATCTAAGAAGATCGTGTACCACAAGAGAAACTTCGATGCCGAACAATACATATCATTCATATCATATCATCTTCATATCATATCATATCATTCATATTCATATCATACCGTCATTCATATCATACATATCATTCTGTGTATCATACAATAGATACATACCCTCAGGCATACATACACAGACTCATAGACGACCAATCGATACATAGGGATAAATACACCAATATGCAAAATTGCGTGGCATCGTCACCCATGATTTCAGGGCTTTACCTAACTTAGAGTGCGACAGAGTCAGTGCAAACTATCAATTTTTGTTTGCATCTGTCGTTTCTATGCGATGTTCATAGTTTTTCAGAGGTTAGGCTCCTTATGAAATGACCTTATGACAGATTTCTGTCTTCGTAAAGGATTCACACGAAAATTTCTCTTGCCAAATCCGATGGCTGTGTGTTATTCTGCAAACAGAATTACTTCGTACAGACTTTCGTTAAATCGCGTCACGACAGCATCGTTACCCGAGCAATTCTGAGTTTATGATAGAGTTTCACTGACTACCGTAAAGACTCAAATAAGATTATCGTAATGGCGCATAGTCTCCGTCAGACTTCATCCCATCGTTCAATTCCTTACTTGGTTCTTGTCTTCTCTGTGCAACAGAGACACCTAACGCAAGCTCGTAAATTTTGGGAAGCTCCTAATCACTTCATACAACTGACACATAATAGCCTTTCATATTACAATAAATTATTCTGTTATTGCAAAGAAATAGGAATAATAGACCAATAAAGTTTTCGTGAAATTCCAAGATAGAATTTAGCTTTATGATAAGAAATTTTGGAACAAAAGTTTGTGATTTAATGGACGTAGCCATGAAGAACATTCCACTTCGAGCAACTCTTTGAGTGGACGCTGTAGACAACAATCGCATCATCTGCCTCGTAAGGGTAGAGGATATGTGAACTTGATTTTAATACATAAGTTTTATAAGCTGACAGAATGATCAGCAGTCAGGCCTTTTCGTGCATTTTGTACATATTTACGTTGTTCATATCGTAGGCGTAACAGTTCCTGGTATTCTTACATTGAAACACTCTGAAGTTTGATTTCTCACTAAAAATCTTACATTTGCTGCAGATGGACCGTGCAATGAATTCCTTGCAGATGGAATTAACAATTAACATAAATAATTTGACTCTTACTTAATTGAATTTGTATCTCTATCGAAAGCCATGTTCAAATCTACGACGCCGAGACTGAGCCACTGCCGAAGTCCTGAGTCAAACAATGCAGCGAGGTAGCTAAAATGTATCATCGATGACTACGATAAGCAGTTACTCCAGGCGATAGAGTACCCCATGCATGAAACGCAGACTTATCTGGTAACATATATTTAGACCGCAAGCAAATGAGTTTTTTATATTGTAAATGCTCTGGTCTGTGATATGATTGGTGTATGCAGATTAATTTCCCCAGCACATGTTTGTTCACTTGGTCCTCGTACGACGGCGACAAACGAAGCTCTGTTGTGAAGCCTTCATGAAACAACCAGCAAAAGAAATCAGAATGTGTCACCCCCTCACTTAGAACCGTTAGGGTGTGGATAATGACATTCTGACTGTCCAGCATGCTTTATTTTGAGTGGGGCGGTCGAAATCCGCTCGTCTATTTTTCTAAGGACTTGAGAGAGTTGAAGATGAGTGGATTCTGACTGTTTGAAATTAAATAATTTGTCCACTCACTGCCTGTTACGGCTATTAGACATTTTCTCAAAGGTCACTTCAACCTGACGCCCGTTATATTGCTTAAATGCATTATACTGCTTCTTGCGAAATATGTGAAAGCACGAATTGCCGCATACTCCACATGATGCGAGGGCCGAATATTGCGCAACACACCTTTTCTACGAGACATCCCTCAGGGAGACGATTGTGTCTGCAGTAAACAAACACCATTCAAATCTTCATCCTCTGATAATCGAGGCAGTATATGCATTGGCGATGAAGCGCTGTTTCATGCTCAGAGCACTACTCCGTTGTGATAAGCGAAAGCTGGCGTATTATGACCAATTTGATAGGAAAATATGGAATGATGTAGTGAGTAGTTCAGATTATAATCTGAAATTTTGTTATGAATATAACTTTCAAAATGCTGTATTAATCTGCCCCTCCACTTTAAATCGAGGTATTTTGTTTATTAACACGGTTAGATCCCTGATAATCTCTGGTATGTTAACGACGTCACCGGCATGCGTGAAGTGTTAACATCTGCATTGCTTTACACCCTCAACCATGAATCGGCAAACTGTACGCAATTTCAGCAGCGAACTCAGAATCAGAAATGCCTTGACATATCACATTAACCGCTTGGTATATGACTGACCGCTTGCCAACTTCTGCCTACAAGATTATAGCCTCCATTTAAAACGACTGACAGTCATTATCAAAGCCACCACTGTTAAGAAGCTATTATTTCTGTCAATCAAGCAATCTTAAGATCGATGACTCAGTGCATAATCTAAGATTTAAGATTCGAAAGGCAAAAATTTTGAATGCATTTGTAACTAAATCAGTTAAATTGTTTTGCGGCCCTTATATCTGTATTTATTAAAATTGTGACTA